GCGGCGGGGCGGAGCGCCGACCTACCCGACCTGGCGGCCCCGTCTGCCCGCCCCTTCCTGGGGCTGCTCACCTCGGTTGAATCGCCGCCTGGGGGCGGGGAGGTGTGGGAAGAGGCTCCCCTCCCCCACGCAGGAGCGGCAGTTGGGGCACCGCCCCCTTCCCAGGTGAGCGCCGGGAGCGCCCCGCCCGGCGCTGCCGCCAGTGGTTTCCTCCGGTGGCGGCAGCTGAGGGCAGAGGGGGTGGGGGTCCTTCCTTGGTGGCTACGAGAAGGTTTGAAAATACTGAGACGTCCTCTTGCCTAGGGAGCACGACTTGGAAACATTGAAGAAATGAGACTTGGAGGAAAGGATGAGGGGCTAGGAAGAGGAACGTGGAAACGAAAATACAGAGAGGAGCGGGAGAACCGTCGGCAGCACAATAAAAAAGATGACCTTTGAGCTTTATATGGCAGTTTCATTGTGTATCATTGAAACTAGGAAAAGAAAAATCTCCCTGGCTTTTGGGGATGACGAATTTATGAGGTCTTTATTATTATTCTAAATAATTCTTTTTCCTTTTTTTCCTAAAAAAAAAAAAAAAAAAAGGCACTTTTAGCAGCATTAGATATAAAATGTTCGCATAGACTAAATTCTGCGAAATGAGATTATTTCGGTCTTATTTAATATTAGGGGACATGTTGATGAGTCCTTAGAAAATACAGGAAAGTACAAACAGGACAGTATTTTAGAGCAAATGAATTCAAATTACAGCACTATTATGTTGTCGTTCGGTGCCTTCCAGTAGGTTCCGACTCATACTGACCCTGTGTACAGCAGAACGAAACACTGCCCTGTCCTGCGCCATCCTAACGATTGTTGCTACGTTTAAGCCCACTGTTGCAGCCACTGTGTCAATACATCTCACTGAGGGTCTTCTTTTTCTCTGATCTTCCATCAAGCATGATGTCCTTCTCCAGGGACTGGTCATGTCCAAAGTAAGTGAGACGAAGTTGCAGCATCCTCGCTTCTAAGAATTCTGACTGTACTTAATCCAAGACATTTGTTTGTTCTTCCCGCAGGCCATGGTATATTCAGTATTCTTCACCAACTCCATAATTCAAAGGCATCAATTCTTCTATCTTCCTTATTCATTGTCCAGCTTTCGCATGTATATGAGGCTATTGAAAATACTATGGCTTGGGTCAGGCACACCTTAGTCCTCCCATCTTTGCTTTTTTAACCCTTTAAAGAGGTCATTTGCAGCAGATTTGCCCAATGCAATACATCGTTTGATTTCTTGACTGCTGCTTCCGTGGACGTTGATTGTGCATCCAAGTAGAATGAAATCCTTGACAACTTCAATATTTTCTCCGTTTATCATGATGTTGCTTATTGGTCTAGCTGTGAGGATTTTTGTTTTCTTTATGTTGAGGTGTAATCCATACTGAAGGCTGTAGTCTTTGATCTCCATCAGTAAATGCTTCAAATCCTCTTCACTTTTAGCAAGCAAGGTTGTTTCATCTGCATATTACAGGTTGTTAATGAGTCTTCCTCCAATCCCGAGACCACGTTCTTCTTCATATAATCTGGCTTCTTGGATTATTTGCTCAGCATACAGACTGAATAAGTATGGTGAAAGGATATAACCATGGTGCACACCTTTCCTGATTTTAAGCCACACAGTGTCTCCTTATTCTGTTCCAATGATGGCCTCTTGGTCTGTGTACAAGTTCCGCATGAGCACGTTAGGCATTCTGGAATTACACTCTTTGCAATGGAATTCTTCCAGATTTGCATCCATTTGTTGAATCCACTCACATGGTATTACGTCAATTCCTGGAGCCTTGTTTTTTGCCAGTGCCTTCAGTGCAGCTTGGACTTCTTTCTTCAGTACCACCAGTTCTTGATCATATGCTACCCTCTGAAATGGTTGAACGTTGACCAATTCCTTCCATCTTCTTTTGATGCTTCCTGTGTCGTTCAATATTTTGCGCATAGAATCCTTCAATATTGCAATTTGTGGCTTGGATTTTTTTCAGAGCGTCTTCTTCCCTTTAGGTTTTCTAACTCCAGGTCTTTGCACGTTTCATTGTAATACTTTACTGTGTCTTCTTGAGCCGCTCTTTGAAATCTTCTGTTCAGCTCTTTTACTTCATCATTTCTTCCTTTTGCTTTAGTTACTCGATGATCAAGAGCAAGTTTCAGAGTCTCTTCTGACACCCATTTTGGTCTTTTCTTTCTTTCTTGTCTTTTTAATGACCTCTTGCTTTCTTCATGTATGATGTCCTTGATGTCATTCCACAAGTCATCTAGTCTTCAGTCATTAGTGTTCAATGCACCGAATCTATTCTTGAGATGGTCTCTAAATTCAGGTGGAATATAATCAAGGTCATACTTTGGCTCTCGTAGACTTGTTCTAATTTTCTTTAGCTTCAGCTGAACTTGCATATAAGCAATTGATGATCTGTTCCACAGTCAGCCCCTGGCGTCATTCTCACTGATGATATTGAGCTTCTCCCTTGACTGTTTCCAGAGATGTAGTTGATTTGATTCCTGTGTATTCCTTCTGGTGAGGTCCACATGTTTAGTTGCCATTTATGTTGTTGAAAAAAGGTGTTTGCAATGAATAAGTCATTGGTCTTGCAAAATTCAATCATGCAATCTCTGGCACTGTTTTTAATCACCAAAGCCATATTTTCCAAGTACTAATCCTTCTTCTTTGTTTCCAACTTTTGCATTCCAATCACCAGTAATTACCAATACATCTTGATTGCATGTTTGATCAATTTCAGACTGCAGAAGTTGGTAAAAATCTTTAATTTCTTTACCTTTGGCATTAGTGGTTGGTTCGTGAATTTGAATAATAGTCGTATTACCTGGTCTTTCTTGTAGAAATATGGATATTATCCTATCACTGATAGCGTAGTACTTTAGGATAGATCTTGAAATATTCTTTTTGATGATGAATGTGACGCATTCCCAGCATAGTAGACCATATGATTGTCCGATTCAAAGTAGCCAATACCAGTCCATTTCAGTTCACTAATGCTAATATCGATCTTTATGTGTTCAATTTCTTTTTTTCTCTTTTTTTTGTGCTTTAGGTGAAAGTTTACAGCTCAAATTAGTTTCTCATTCAAAAATTTATACACAAATTATTTTGTGGCATTGGTTGCAATCCCCGCAATGTGTCGGCACTCTCCTTCTTTCCCTTTACACCCCAGGTTCCCCGTGTCCATTCGTCCAGTTTTCCTTTCCCTTCCTGCCTTCTTTGCTTTTGGGTAGATATTACCCATTTGGTCTCATATACTTGATTGAACTAAGAAGCACATTCCTCACTTATGTTATTGTTTCTTTTATAGGTGTGTCTCATCTTTGGTTGAAAGGTGGACTTTGGGACTGGCTTCTCTTCTGAGTTAGCAGGGTTTCATTTCATTTTTGATGACTTCCAAGTATTAGACTTCCTGATATTAGACAGCCCATAATATTATGCCATAATTTTATTATTTGAATTGCTAACTTAATTACAACTTTGTTTCCCTTGAATCTAGTATCATGAAAGCCAATGGTTTTAACTGGGGAATTCAAATTGCTTACCCATGAAGTTTTTATTACTATTCAAATATTTAGAGACTTCATAATCTTGATACATTCTTGGTGTATTCTAACTATATGGTATTATGTTTCAAGATTATTATGTGTTATATCTGAAGCTCTTTAAAAATGAGGTTAAGCATTATGTTTAGTGATATTTTCGTCTAAAGTTTTTTTTTTTAATTAACTTTATTTGGCTTTGCTTTAGTTTTGTAATTAATTCCCATCTGGTCTTTTTGCTTTTAAGAAATATTATTGTTACAAGTTAATCGTGGTCATATTAAGTTTTGTCGTCTGCAGATAAGTTTTTACTTTAGTGATTTGATAAAAACGCTTGAACAAAATATTTCAACAAAATAGGACTATATCAGACTTCTGAAGAGGACTATAATATTTCAAACGTGGATACAATTGTATTAAATCAAGATTTCCAGGACTCTTACGTAGAAAATAATGACGTTTGCAGACTTCTGTTGATCTACAATTGCATGGAACCAAAATTAATTACATAGGACTGAGTAAACTAAAAGAATCAATATAAGGTTTTTATGAGAATATTGCCAACATTCAATGTCCTATTTTGTAGCTATAGGAAACCATTTTTATTTTATTTTCTCTCTTTTAATATAAGAATCAGTTATTTCAGAAACTAATAACATTATGTTAGCTGCAGAATATCCTGTGGATTAGAAGATATTATGGCACATGTCAAAGTTTGGACTAAATATATTCAGAATGATTAACCGATTCTGCCCATGGACTCCAAGAAATGAATACTGCAATGATTATGAGAGAAATAGTTCTTCAAAATCAAATGGCCCTTGATATCCTTACTAGGACACAAAGAGGCACCTATGCCATTATTAAAACTAATTGTTAATGTTGAATTTTAATGATCCTGTTGCTTCCTTAACTGATGTTATTCTCAATTTTTAGAATCCTTCTCATCATTTCTATTATTACAAAATGCTGTATCTGCTGTACTTAATTCTGCTTTGAAAGAACATTTTTTAGAGGTTAAAGAAGGCTTTGAGGCAGGAAGTTACAGGAAAACTGGACAAATGGAAATAGGAAACCCAGGGCGGAGAATAGGAGAGTGTTGACACATCATGGGGTTGGCAACCAATATCAACAAAACAATTTGTGTATTAACTGTTTACTGAGAAACTAATTTGCTCTGTAAACTTTCACCTAAAAAAGGCGGGGGGAGGGGAGGTGTAAATAAAGCAGACTTTGATGACCAGTAGTTAGAATCCCAAAATCTGCCTAATATTGTCCCTGGAGAATATATATTGGAAAAAACATCAATTGAAAGACTCCTTAGAAGCTTGCTAGAAAGGTCCATACTTAGACCTTCTCACTAACCCTTGTGCTGCCAAATTACAGGGAGTTAAAACTTGGGCCCACCTGTCCCGACTTAAGAAGGCTAAAGTCCCTTCCTGGATTGCTCAACCTGCAAAAGGACTTAAACTGAAGTATAAACACCCTTGTGACCAGAAACGGATGATGTTGGAAGTAGACAGCTCCTCCCAAGATCATGGAACAAGACCTCATGCAAGTTCTTAAAATTATTGGACTTTGTTTTTGGGATTGCATTATTTTACAACCTTGAGTTTTGTGATGGTTAATGTTGTGTGTCAACTTGGCTGGGC